CAGAGTATTCAAGAGGGATATAGAAGGCTGCAAAAGTTATCTGGCATTGGCCATATTTGTATACTTTGAAAAGGCTTGACAAGATAAGCATTGACTTATACTAAATTTTAGAGTAGGAGAAAAAATAGTTAAGGGCATGAGCTTTAGAGTTTGGCAACCAGCGTTTGTAATTCTGGCTCTAGTTCTTATGAGCAATGGGACCCTGCACAGATTTCTTTATCTACCTGAACTCTAGTCTCCTCCCCTATAATGTGGAGAAACTGTGGCACCGTAATATGAGGGATTAAGTGAGATAATGTAAGTTAAAGTATCTGACAGGGACCTGGTGCCTAATGAAAGGAATCTATAAATGCTAGCTGGTATTACATTATACTCTTATGGTCTCATTAAAAAAATTTAATGCTTTACTCAGATGGTGTGTATTTTCTTCATATTATTCATGACTCATTTTTTCCCAAGCAGGAATCACTCAGAATATCAAGAGAACAAATTATTCAGGATAATTATTTGTACCCATTAGGTGTTAGAGGTATTAACTCTAACTAATGTAGCTCATTTTAATATGTATTCAGTGCTTGCCATATGTGTAATGCGAAGCAAGGTACCATAGGAGAATACAGATTCTATTTTCAAGAGGCTCCTGATGCTGCTGGGGAGAGAAAAAAAATGTATTTTTAATACAGATAAAGCATTTTACCTTGGGCTCAGAAATATGTCACTATTTTTTTTAAAGATTTATTTATTTTATTTGAAAGTCAGAGTCACACAGAGAGAGAAGGACAGGCGGGGGTGGGGGGGGGTCTTCCATCTACTGTTTCACTCCCCAGTTGGCTGCAATGACTGGAGCTATGCCAATCCAAAGCCAGGAACCAGGAGCTTCTTCCAGGTCTCCCATGTGGGTGCAGGGGCCCAAGGACTTGGACCATCTTCTACTGCTTTCCCAGGCCATAGCAGAGAGCTGGATAGGAAGTGGAGCAGCTGGGACACGAACCGGCACCCATTTGGGATGCTGGTACTGCAGGCGACGGCTTTACCTGCTACACCACAGCACCGGCCCTATGTGTCACTTTTTTTTTTTTTTTTTTTTTTGGCAGGCAGAGTGGACAGTGAGAGAGAGAGACAGAGAGAAAGGTCTTCCTTTGCCATTGGTTCACCCTCCAATGGCCGCCGCGGCCGGCACGCTGCAGCCGGTGCACCACGCTGATCCAGTGGCAGGAACCAGGTACTTCTCCTGGTCTCCCATGGGGTGCAGGGCCCAAGCACTTGGGCCATCCTCCACTGCACTCCCTGGCCACAGCAGAGAGCTGGCCTGGAAGAGGGGCAACCGGGACAGAACCCGGTGCCCCGACCGGGACTAGAACCCGGTGTGCCGGCGCCGCAAGTGGAGGATTAGTCTATTGAGCCACGGCACCAGCTGCTATTTTTTGAATGAGTGTTAGACCCTGGAATAACTGACCACACCATTTTCTTTTTTCACAGAACTCTCTGAGAGAATGTAACCGGTAAATACATAGGTACTATTATAGAGCAGAAGTAATTTAGGACCTTAGAGAAGACATATATTAATGTATTACAGGCATTGGGGAAAACTTGAGTGAAGAATATATGTTAGGTCTAGTTAGGTGGACAAGTAAAGCCAGAAGGAACCAAAGTATGAACAAGAGTCTACAGAGCTATAATTTTGAGCCAGCAGTGTAAAAATTGGCCTGGCTTAAATACACATTTTTTGAAAACACTTTTAATTAATATCAAGAGAACAGATTTCCTGTAATTCATAGATACAGTTCTAAGAATATAATGATATTTCCACATTTAAATCAAGGAGAAGAGGAAGTTGCTTTGAACAAGAGAGTCAGTGCAGGTTGTGGAGGGAATGGCAGGCTGGGGTAGGTTACTCCTTTGGGAGGTTGCTGGAGGTGTTGAGCGAAGGATGAGATGCGTGTGTTTATAGGAAGGTGTTTTGACAGAAGTGCTCAAGTTGGTTTGGATGTAGAGAGGAGGATTGAAGTTGGGGAGACAGCTGCTTAGTTACTGCGGGGACCTGAAGAGGGCGTGAAATAGGGTAGTGACAGAAGAGGAAGAAAGGGACTTATTTAAAGATTTTCAGGGTCCAAAATCCTTGGCTTTGAGACTAACATGTGCTGGTAGGGTAGATATCTAAGATGGACGATTTTGAGAGAATGATGGTACCTAGCACAGAAATGGTGAGGTGAGGAAAGATTACTATGTAAGAAAGAAGCTGAGTTTGAACAGTTGTAGGTAAATTGGTTAGATAAACAGCTTGGAAAAAATTAGAAGATGAATCATAATTCCGTCATTTTGACACAACTGCACCTGATTTCATCTTTATTTTGCCTTGTAGCCCTGGTTCATATACCCATGTGTTTACATATTTACAATCATAAATGTACATGCCATTCCACATTTTAGAAATTATGTCATAGACTCCACCTTTATGCAGTTATTTTTTTACTTTTAAAATTTTAAAATTTTTTACTTTTAAAATTTATATTAAGGAAACAATTTTCATGTATTTAGTATATACAATTTTAAGAGCATAATGATACTTTCCAGTGTACCCTTCCCATGTCATTGGCTGACTGATCTATTGCAGAGTTCCCTGAAAACAGGAACCACAGTGGTGGTGTTCATTTCTGTGGGTCTAGAACACAGGAAAAAATTAACATTTATTTAGTGAAAGCATAATAGACCACACAGATTATTTCGATGCTTTTCTTTGTAGAAGTTGCTGCAACAAATATGTATATAACAGTTTGGGTGTGTTTGTTTTGGTTTGTTTTTCTGTGTAGAAGGACATTAAGTCTATTTGCAGGATGTCTAGATCACAACATACTGGGACTGTTTGGAGCTGCATCTTGCAATTCGGTGAAAAGTCAGTGTTTCCACTAGTAGGAGTACTTTCCACCACTCCCAAGGTTATATTAAGGGCTTGGTTAAGGATACAGATTTGTGTATGCTTCTTATGGGTTGTTTCATCGACCACTTAGTAACCAGCAGGAAAATTCACATAGTTAGCTATTTTTGTGTTTTGCCATTATTTGCAGGAATGAAGGCAGTTCCATTGGAAAACTATTGATCACTAAAATTCTAACAAGGCTTTAGTTTGGAAACCTAAAGTCTTGGGTGTATGTTCAGCATAGAAATGTTTTCTGGAGTCCTCAAAGAGCTCCCTCTATCAGCTGGCCTTGGTCATGAGATAACTTGAGCTACAGTGACTTCTGCAGTTAGGGATTTGTTTTCCTCACACAACATGTCCTGAAATAGGCAACCTGAGGCTGTTATGAGGACTTAGTGATATCACTGGAGAGCTAAGCTCCTCCTGTCTTCCTTCTTCACCATCCTTAGCCTGGGACTTTTATCTTCATGGTTGTCATGTGACTGCTGTACTTTTACCCAGTGGCTTTCTTGTTTTACACAGGAAAATGAGGGAAGGGCAAGGACAAAAGGTTAAAAGTGCTTTTCTATGGAGTCTGCCCCTTGAGAAAGCTTTCCTGGAATCCCCGCCGTAGCAACTTCCACTTTTATCTCCTAGACCGGGACCATATCGAAGGGCCATCCCTAAGTGCTAGGGAGAAGGTGGTTAGCATTGTTAGTTGCTGGATGCACTGCTTTCCTTGATAAAACTGTGGTTCAGATGGTGAAGAAGAAAGGGAGAATGGATGTTGGATAGGCAACCAGCCGCATCTGCCACAACCTCCAGGTGGCGTGCTGATGGAGCGCCTAACAGTCTATTCTTTGAGGTAGTGAGAGTCTGGCCTTGATATTTATATTGTACAAGTGAAAGAAACTTTAAAAATGTGAATGGTGAGGAGTCCATGAATATCTATAACCATGATGAGTTTGTGTTTCTCCTCTGGATTTCAGTTGAAAGACAAGACTGCAGATTATATTGTGTCCTAAAAGCCAGCCAGCTATAACATTAAATCTTAGAATGCTGCAGAATTTGTGTTCAAAGTAAGAAATAATGTTGATTAGCTTTATCACTGACAGATTCTTAGTCAGTCAGTGTAATTAAGGGCTAAAAAAATTCAGGATAGATTAGTTTAGTTAGAGCAATACTTAGTAACCATTGCACAGCCCATAAGTACTTGGATTGATAAACTTCCATGCCCAAACCTTTACAATTCCAGAGTTGTACCCAGCACTTAAAATATCAAAGATTTTTTTATGTTTCCTGACTCAGAGACCCTACTGGTCACATATAAATATATCTGGTTCTCTGTTCTCATGTTCTCAATTCTCACCATGCATTAGAATTGTCAGGGGAGCTTTAAAAAAATATTGATGGCAGAGAGCCACCAATTCTATTAGTCAAGGATGGTCTTCTAAATGAGAAGTAGTGGGGGGAACGTACTGAGGCAGCGGCAGTGGAACTGGAGGGGAGAGGACAGCTTTGAGAAACTTTTAGGATAATATCATCCAGGGTTTATACAGTGATGCAAATGTTGTTTTTGTTTGCAGTGTCCAATATGTGCAACAAGCCACATGTGACTATTGAGCACTTGAAATGTAACTAGTTTGATTGAAGAATTAAATTTTTAATTTAATTAAGTTAAAGTGCCTTATGCAGCTCATGGCCATCTTATGGGACAGTGTAGATTTAAGAAGTGGAATCAATGGGCTCTACCAGGGAGTCCCAAGGCGAGACAAGAGTTGAGGAAGAGAAGGAGTTAAGCAAAATTTAAAGTTTGTTTTCAGTGAGAGTGAAAGTGATAATGTTTCTGGTTTAGGGAATAGTGTAGGGGAGTAGACTCATGATTCTTACGCTCTAGCCTCAGAAGTTACTAGCACATAGTTCGTGCCCAGCATATCATGGTGCTCAACCCATGTTGGATTGTTTCAGTGAGACTTGAGCAGGATTCACAGCCCTCATGTTACATTTGTTTAGTATATATACAGTCTGAAAGTATCACTGAAAATAGTATTTTCTTATTCAATCATTTCTCTTTCTCCCCCCTGCCTTTTTTTTTAAACATCAGGTATCAAATTGTAGTGGAAATAATCCAAGCAACTACAATTAGCAGCTTTCCTCAACTGAAGAGGCACAAGGGTAAGAACCAGTTTGTTTTCTTCAGTTTTATGCTTTAAAAGTCCCAGGTTTATCCCTGTTTTCCTCTTTCCTATCAAATCTTAGTCAAAATGAGCATCTTCCTTCCTCCCTCCCCCCTCCCTTCCTCCCTTCCCCCCCTTCCTTCCTTCCTTTCTTTCTTTCTTTTTCTTTTTTTTTTTAATTTGAAAGGCAGAGTTATAGAGAGGCAGAGGCAGAGAGAGAGGGAGAAAGAGATCATCCTTCCATTGGTTCACTCACCAAATGACCGCAATGGCCAGGGCTGAGCCAGGCCGAAGCTGGGAGCCAGGAACCTCCTCTGAGTCTCCCATGTGCTGCAGGGTAAAGTATCTGGGCCATCCTCTGCTGCCTTTCCAGGTGCATTATCAGGGAGCTGGATCAGCAGTGGAGCAGCCGGGACTTTTATCAGTGCCCATGTGGGATGCCAGTGCTGCGTGCAGCAGCTTTACCTGCTATGCCACAGCGCCGCCCCCAGATGAGCATTTTTCTAACTTAAATTTCAGTATTTCAAATTTATTATAGAATAGCATGATTAAAGAAAGTAAATTTAATCTCATTGTAACATATTCCTTTATAACATATTCCTAGCATATTCCTTTATACATTTTGTGTATTTGTAATCATGATTTTTGGGCATATAGTGTTCCTATTCTGTTTATAACATAAATATTATGTAATTTTTTGTCATTGAAATTTAGTCTTGTTATTCACTAATTTTTTATCTTGAAACATAATCTTTATAGTCATTTCAATAATTAATTAGAGTTCATGTTTCATAATTTACTCTTTTCCTTTAGTTAAACATTTAGATGGTTAATAGTGTTTTTCCTCTCTCATATTATTATAGATTTTTTCAAAAACATATCTATATTTTCTAAATGTTTGTTTCTCTTCCGTTGAAGTAAGAGTTTTAATTTTTAAAGATTTATTTGTTTGAAAATGGGGGGTAGGTAGGGAGAGATATTTTCCATTCACTGATTTGCTTTCTAAATGCCCAGGTACCTGAAACTTTATCCAGGTCGCCCATGTAGGTGACAGGGGCCCAAATACTTGGGCAATCATCTGCTACCTTCCCAGGTGCATTAGCAAGGAGCTGGATCAGAAACAGAGAAACCAGAACTCAAACAAACACTCTGATTTGGGGTGCAGGCATCAGTGGCAGCTTAATTTGTGGTACCAAGGTACCTTCCCCAAAATAAAAATTTTTATCCATGAGTGATCCTGAGGAATAATTAAGGTGTGAAGACGTCTCTCAACTCCTTTACAGTTTGCCTTGTTCTAGCATATCCCCCCTCACATATTTGAAATTGGAGGTGTCTTAAAATCTAGAATGCAGGGCAGGTCTTGATTTGCAGCTGAGAGGCAGCAACCCTGCCTTTACCTATATTTAGATTTGCACAAAAATCTCCAGGCCCCCAGAGTCCCTGCCAGGGAGTAAAGTGATAAAGAACTAGGGAAAGTTGGGCCACAACCTCGGAAACATGCTCTCTGGCACCTAGAGGCAAAATGAAGCTTGAGTGGTTGACTTTCAATTGTCTTCCTGAGTCACTGACGGCAAGTAGGAGCTCTGTTAAAAAAGGAATGAACGTATAAACTGCAAAGAGTGCCAGAAGATAGAATTACAACAAATTAATTTCAAAGATCTCACTTGCTTTTATTTGCAGTTCTAAAATTGGGCTGCCCCTCCTTTCATAACAGAATATGTTCTGATGAGCCAAGCAGAGATTTCTTGTATAGATAGGAGGGGCTGGGGAAAGTAGAAACAAAAAAGAAAAAGTGGGTTGGTTGTTTTAAAGTTACTTCTTTTGTAAAGGTTAAAGCAGAAGAGACTTCCTTATAGTACTAACACTGACTTGTTTGGGGATTTGACTATTATCTCTCCCCCTGCTGATTTCTTGGGAGATCAGGTAAACAATTTAACTTCTGGAACTTCAGCATAGTAACTCCATATTCATTTGGCATTATGAGCCATGTGCCAGAGTTCAGTCCAAACCAATGTCCTCCTATAAATGTTACTTAATAAGAGAGATTGTTAATGTCAGCCCAGTAAGGAAGACTGTGGAAATATGTTCATCCAGCAGTGTTCACTGATCACTTCCTCGGTATTGATAATACAATAGAAACAACACAAGATGTCTGCATCCACCAACTCCCCAAATGAGGCTGGTAGACAATCATACAATAAACAACTAAAATACATGGTATTCAGATGGCAATATGTGCCTTGGAGAAGAACAAAGTGTGTGAGTAGAGAGGCTGAGGGAGGTAGCAAAGAATGTTGGTTCAGCTGCTGGGGTGAGGTGACTACTGTGTATTCAGAGTGAGCTGGGGAAGACCTCAGCAATTTCAGAACAGGAATTTATTGTAGAGGTGTGGGGAGGACACAGATCAGCCCAGGGCAGTTATGCTACAAGACACACCCTCTATGATACTTCTTACTTTCATAGCTCCATTCTGTATCCAACCTGACCTTATCATTCTCTTCTGTTTCCTGACCTCCTTCTGTTCAACTCTTCAAAAAGACGAATAAACTAAACAGTCTTGGGACCTTGGAGCTGTTTGGCCTTGGAATAGAAAGCATGGGAGACTGATTTCCTTACTTCTCTGAGGTTGCTTTTATTTTTTATTTATTTTTTATTTATTTATTTATTTATTTTTTGACAGGCAGAGTGGACAGTGAGAGAAAGAGACAGACAGAAAGGTCTTCCTTTGCCGTTGGTTCACCCTCCAATGGCTGCCGCGCTGCGGCCAGCGCACCGCGCTGATCCGATGGCAGGAACCAGGTACTTCTCCTGGTCTCCCATGGGGTGCAGGGCCCAAGCACTTGGGCCATCCTCCACTGCACTCCTGGGCCACAGCAGAGAGCTGGCCTGGAAGAGGGGTAACCGGGACAGAATCCAGTGCCCCGACCGGGACTAGAACCCGGTGTGCCGGCACCGCAAGGCAGAGGATTAGCCTAGTGAGCCACAGCGCCGGCCTGAGGTTGCTTTTAGCAGTGATTGTCATCACCAGTCTCTGTGTTCACATAATATGATGTTTCAGCAGAATTTAGACTATCTGCATTATATAAACTGCCAAGGCTAGCTCTTATATGCTCATTGTAACAACAGAATGTGTGCCCTTGATATCTAAGAGCAACTTATTTTTTTTTTAACTTTTATTTAATGAATATAAATTTCCGAAGTACAGCTTATGGATTACAATGGCTTCCCCCCCCCCCCATAACTTCCCTCCCACCCGCAACCCTCCCCTTTCCCACTCACTCTCCCCTTCCATTCACATCAAGATTCATTTCAATTCTCTTTATATACAGAAGATCAGTTTAGTATATATTAAGTAAAGATTTCAACAGTTTGTACCCACATAGCAACACAAAGTGAAAAATACTATTTGAGTACTAGTTATAGCATTAAATCACAATGTACAGCACATTAAGGACAGAGACCCTACATGATGAGTAAGTGCACAGTGACTCCTGTTGTTGACTTAACAAATTGACACTCTTGTTTAGGGAATCAGTAATCACCCTAGGCTCTTGTCATGAGTTGCCAAAGCTATGGAAGCCTTTTGAGTTCACCGACTCTTATCATATTTAGACAAGGTCATAGTCAAAGTGGAAGTTCTCTCCTCCCTTCAGAGAAAGGTACCTCCTTCTTTGATGACCTGTTCTTTCCACTGGGATCTCACTCGCGGAAATCTTTCATTTAGGTCATTTTTTTTTTTTGAGAGTGTTTTGGCTTTCCATGCCTGAAATACTCTCATGGGCTTTTCAGCCGGATCCACATGCCTTAAGGGCTGATTCTGAGGCCAGAGTGCTGTTTAGGACATCTGCCATTCTATGAGTCTGCTGTGTATCCCACTTCCCATGTTGGATCATTCTCTCCCTTTTTTATTCTATCAGTTAGTATTTTCAGACACTAGTCTTGTTTATGTGATCCCTTTGATTCTTAGTCCTACCATTAAAGAGCAATTTATTCTTAATATGGCATATTCTGGCTGAAATGTAATTATAACTGAAGTATTTTATTATGTTTATTAGGGTTTTAAAAATGTTATAACTAATAACCACAAACTGGGTGGTTAAACAATAAATAAAAATGCATTCCCTCATAGTTCTGTAGGCTGGAAATCTAAAATCAAGTTGCTCTATGAATGCTCTTGGAGAAATCTCTTCCCTAACTTTCTTTTAGCTTTTGGTGTTACAGTAAATCATTAGCATATCTGGCTTTTAGACACATTTTGCCTATCTCTGCCTGTGTTGCTACATGGTGTTCCCCTCTTATGTCTGTGTCTCTGTTTTCTTATAAGTACACCAGCATATTGGATTAGCACTCATCCTAATTAAGCATGACCTTGTCTTAAAAATTGATTACATCTGAAAAGACTGTGTTTCCAAGTATGATCATGTTCATGGGTACCAGAGGGTAGTACTTCAGCATATCTTTTTGAGGACACAGTTCAATCCACAACAGTATATCTGAGAAGTTCCAATATACATTTGTGAAAATGCTAGAAGTACTTATTTACAATAAGTTTTCTGATCACGTTAAGATATGCTGCCTTCTTACTTTTTGAGTTAATTTTGGTATCAGCATTTAGCATTTTCTAAATTGGAATCCTTTAAGTCTATAATGAGATTCAAAGTTAGAAATAAAATCTCAGAAGAAAGTAGGATAGCTGAAATCACATAGGTGATTTTAGCCTATAGGTGATATATGCCTTCATGTCCAGAGTACACATAGGTTTCCTGGAATCAGTGCTCTTGGCATATTGTATAACTGTATAAGAATTAAGGGAAGTCTAAGTGACCAGAAAAAAAGAAGTAAATTAGACTTCATCAAAGATAAAGAACTTATGTATGCATGCCGGCGCCTGCAGTACTGGCATCTCATACTGGTGGCATTTCGGGTCTTAGCTGCTCTACTTCCAATCCAGCTCTTTGCTATGGCCTGGAAAGGCAGTGGAAGATGGCCCAGATCCAT